AAACTGAAAACACATCACCGGTAAGCAGGAATATGGCTAACTGAAATTCCTCCCTGAGTCATGCAAATTGACAACGGTGTTTATTCACATCAAAGGGGCTGCATACGTCACCCTTTTGAGCAGAATAACTGTGGACAGGAGTGACCATCTTTTCTCTTTCTCAAATCCTGGAGGCAAGAAGCACCTTTCCTCTTTTCCAACAGTAGCCACTTCTCATTATCCTGATTTCTGGGTCTGACTAGCTCACCCTGCGTTTGCAATAAACACACGTTGTCATGAGGTGCCCATGCTCTAATCTCTCCAGGGATCATGCCTGAAGGCCTTCTTCCTCCAATAAAACCACAATGCAGTCTTTTCTAATAGGCACCTTCAAACAGGATAATAAATGTCTGACATAACAAGACCGACCTTGTCACAAAGTGTGATGACGGCAGAAACTTACAAAGGTGATTTTCTGTTTTGGAATTTATGAGGAACAGCACGGGAGGGAAAAGAGCCTTTTCCACGGTGCAGCACACCACAAAGATGGGAGGTGTGGACAGATCCAAGGGCAAACAGAGCAGGGTATTCTCCTACAGAGTGATAATGGCATCATGCAGGGAATAGAGGACTACGATTTGGGCCCCATCGAGTTTTGGAAATAAAGGTTTGCTGGAACACAGGCACACCTGTTGTGTTGTATTGTTTTTACAAATTACGTATCTCCGGGTGCCTACGTTCTCAGACAGCAGAGTTGGGTGGCTGAAATAGAGACTGAATGGACAGAACTAGACCCTGTCCCCAGCCTTAGTGGTGCTCTCCCAACGACGGCTATTTTCCATCCCTTAGGCAGATAGTTTTAAAAAAGCAAATTAGGAGAACTATACACCAATTTCCCTGATGAACATGGATGTAAAAATCCTCAATGAGATATTAGCCAACCGGATCCAACAATACATTAAAAAAATTATTCACCACAACCAAGTAGGATTTATACATGGGATGAAGGGCTGGTTCAATATCTGCAAAACAATTAACGTGATTCATCACATCGATAAAAGAAAGGACAAGAACCATATGATCCTCTCAATACATGCAGAGAAAGCATCTGACAAAATACAGCATCCTTTCTTGACAAAAACCCTCAAGAAAGTAGGGATAGAAGGAGCACACCTGGAGATGATAAAAGCCATATATGAGTGACCCAACGCTAATATCATCCTCCATGGGGAAAAACTGACAGCTTTCGCCCTAAGGTCAGGAACAAGACAAGGATGTCCACTCTCACCACTGTTATTCAACATAGTATTGGAAGTCTTAGCCTCTGCAATCAGACAACACAAAGAAATAAAAGGCATCCAAATCGGCCAGGAGGTCAAACTTTCACTCTTTGCAGATGGCATGATAGTCTATATGGAAAACCCAAAAGATTCCACCAAAAAACTGCTAAAATTGGTTCATGAATTCAGCAAAGTTGCAGGATATAAAATCAATGCACAGAAACTAGTTGCATTCCTATACACCAACAATGAAGCGACAGAAAGAGAAATCAAGAAATCGATCCCATTTACAGTTGCACAAAAAAACATAAAATACCTAGGAATAAATCTAACCAAAGAGGTGAAAAATCTATACGCTGAAAACTACAGAAAGTTTATGAAAGAAACTGAAGAAGACACAAAAAAATGGAAAAAGATCCCGTGCTCCTGGATGGGAAGAACAAATACTGTGAAAATGTCGATCCTACCCAAAGCAATCTACATATTCAATGAGATCCCTATCAAAGTAAGACCAGCATTCTTCACAGAGCTAGAACAAATAATCCTAAAATTTGTATGGAACCAGAAAAGACCCCGAATAGCCAAAGCAATCTTGAAAAAGAAAACCAAAGCAGGAGGCATCACAATCCCGGACTTCAGGCTATACTACAAAGCTCTAATCATCAAGACAGTGTGGTACTGGCACAAAAGCAGACATTCAGATCAGTGGAACAGAATAGAGAACCCAGAAATGGACCCACAAACATATGGCCAACTACTCTTTGACAAAGCAGGAAAGAATATCCAATGGAATAAAGGCAGTCTCTTCAGCAGGTGGTGCTGGGAACACTGGACAGCAACATGCAGAAGAATGAACCTGGACCACTTTCTTACACCATGCACAAAAATAAACTCAAAATGGGTGAAAGACCTCAATGGAAGACAGGAAGCCATCAAAATCCTCGAGGAGAAAGCAGGCAAAACCTCTCTGATCTTGGCCACAGCAACTTCTTACTCAACACGTCTCCGGAGGCGAGGGAAACAAAAGCAAAAATAAACTACTGGGACCTCATCAAAATAAAAAGCTTCTGGGGGTGCCTGGGTGGCTCAGTCAGTTAGGTGTCCGACTTTGGCTCAGGTCATGATCTCACGGTTTGTGAGTCTGAGCCCTGCATTGGGCTCTGTGCTGAGAGCTCGCAGCCTGGAGCCTGCTTCGAATTCTGCGTCTCCCTCTCTCTCTCTGCTCCTCCTCCGCTCATGCTCTGTCTCTCTCTCTCTCTCTCACCTTCAAAAATAAATAAAAACATTAAAAAAATTAAAATTCTGCACAGCGAAGGAAACAATCAGCAAAAGTAAAAGGCAACTGACAGAATGGGAGAAGATATTTGCAAATGACAGATCAGATAAAGGGTTAGTATCCAAAATCTATAAAGAACTTATCAAACTCAATACCTCAAAAACAAATAATCCAGTGAAGAAATAGGCAAAAGACATGAATAGACACTTCTCCAAAGAAGACATCCAGATGGCCAACCGACACATGAAAAAATGCTCCACATCACTCATCATCAGGGAAATACAAATCAAAACCACAATGAGATACCACCTCACACCTGTCAGAATGGCTAACATTAACAACTCAGGCGATAACAGGTGTTGGCGAGGATGCAGAGAGAAAGGATCTCTTTTGCATTGTTGGTTGCAATGCAAGCTGGTGCAGCCACTCTGGAAAACAGTATGGAGGTTCCTCAAAAAACTAAAAATAGAACTACCCTACGACCCAGCAATTGCACTACTAGGCATTTATCCACGGGATACAGGTGTGCTGTTTCGAAGGGACACAAAGGCACCCCCATGTTTATAGCAGCACTATCGACAATAGCCAAAGTATGGAAAGAGCCCGAATGTCCATTGATGGATGAATGGATAAAGAAGATGTGGTGTATATATGTATATATATATATATATATATATATATATATATATATATATATACATACACACACACACACACACACACACACACACACACATATACAATGGAGTATTACTCTGCAATCAAAAAGAACGAAATCTTGCCATTTGCAACTATGTGGATGAAACTGGAGGGTATTATGCTAAGTGAAATGAGTCAGAGAAAGACCAAAATCATATGACTTCACTCACATGAGGACTTTAAGAGACAAAACAGATGAACGTAAGGGAAGGGAAACAAAAATAATACAAAAACAGGGAGGGGGACAAAACAAGAGACTCTTAAATATGGAGAAGAGAGGGTTACTGAAGGGGTTGTGGGAGGAGGGATGGGCTAAATGGGTAAGGGGCATTAAGGAATCTACTCCTGAAATCATTATCTTACTATATGCTAACTAATTGGGATGTAAGTTTTAAAAAATAAAAAATAAAATAAACAAAACAAAACAAATTATGTTTCTGTACCTTTCATAGTGGGTGTTATTTCAGAGAAAAGGAAACACAGGAAGAGACGCCCCTGGTCAGTGTGCTTCTGTAGCTAACAAGTACTTATTTTCTATAGAATATTTACTAAATGGAGGCCTAGCTGACCATTTCCCAGTATTTTGTTTAATATATTATTAAACCGTCAGGATATATATATATATATATATATATATATATATATATATATATATATACATATATATACATATAAAGCATTAAACCATCAGGATAGATGTACGTTAAAGTTTCTGATAATTTTTTGGAGAAAAAGTTATCTCAAACAGGATCCCAAAGTACAAAAGTCGGATAACTGACTATTTATACTTTCAGGTGAACCAGATCCTGAGAATGGGATCAGGGGTCAGACAATCCTGAGTTCAAACCATGACTTTAAATAATAAAGTACAACTGAAGTAGAATAGAGGTTGCCGTGTTGGAAGAAGGGAACGTTGAAATGTAAAACTTACGAAATCACCATAAAATAAATGGGAAAGAAAGAAATCCTGCTAACTCTGTGTCAGGCATCGGATATGACTTTTATGTTTTTCACCGTGGGGCCACAGAAGCTGGGGTGAGCCACCGGTCCCTTTAAAAACAGCTCTGTGCAAAATCAGTGGCATGGCAACTCTAACCCACTCGGGCTCTTTATTGGTTCTCCCGTGTGACCGTGTCTCAGCGGGGACACCCAGAAGGCGACCCTGTCATTGGCACACCTCCTGCCCGTGTCTCCAAGCCACCTCTCGCCTGCTGGACTGAATGCAGCTGTTCCTCCCTACCTGGTGTGTGTCCGGTCCCCCCTGCCGTGTCGCCCGCTACGTCTGGTCCCACCTGCACGCCTCTGGTGACACGCATTTGCATGACCTGCGTGTTTGCGGCAAGTGAAAGGGCACTTCTCCAGCACCTCCATTCAAACGCTCAAAGAGCTCTATGAAGAAGTGCCAGGGCTGAGGACACAGAGTGCATTCAGAGTGTCTGGCCGGTGAAAATGCAGAGGTCTAGAGTTCCCTTTCCAATGAGATGCCGGTCTGAGGCTGCTGGCTGGGGAGTCGGGGAGTCAATGTGGGGGATTCTCTCAAGCTTGGCACTACCCCTGCCCCAGTAGGGAGCCAACATGACCCCCCGGGCAGGTGACGCCATCTCTGTCCCACTGGAGGAACTCCAGATGGACAAAACAAATGTCCTTCTATTAACTATCCATTTGGATGATTGAGTTGCAACAAAGAGGTGGCTATGTGAGCAAGGCCAGACGTATCGATCAGGAACCCCACTTCTCGTGTGAAAGATCCCAGTGTTTGCACTTACCAGAACGTGTCTGAATGAGCACGTCGAGGATGAAGACATTAATCTTGGCTTCGGTCTTGCATATGTACAATTGCTCTAGGAATGAATAGGCTGGGCTGTTTGCGTGCCAGGCCCTTCAAACGGGATGAAGACACAAAACATCATTGTTGGCTACACACAGGAGGGGCCCAGCTTGCGAAACTTCCCAAAGACGAGGGGAAGAGAACTCTGCCGATGCCAGGATACCTGAAAAATAGCAAAAGGAAAAAGACTTAGCAGCAGTTTACGCGTATTCGGTTTTCGGTTAAGGACCAAGATTTGTGCAAGAGTCTTTTCCTTCAAATGGAAGTTTACCTCTTTAAACGGTCCCTCGGAAGAAGACTTCTCAAATCAGCAGAGAGTCTGCTGACGGGAACCATTTGCGATTTGGAGGCACCACCCTTCGCCAGAAATATTGAAGAAGGAAAAACCAAAGTAACAGTAACACATACACACACACATACACACGCCCCAACCGCTGCCCGTTAAAAAATGAGAAACTTCAGTGAAACGTAGATGACCCATTTATCCCATCAACAATCAAGCTTGGCAGGGTGCTAATTAGAACAACATAAAGCAGGTTCTGTCTCATCCAACGTTTACATTTAAGAGTATGTTCAAGCTGCAGGGATTCGATTCTACAAAATGCACTGGCAAGTAGGTCTGTCTGAGCATGGCCTCTCCCATGCCCGATCTCAGGCAAATCTGGTTTGATTTATGAGGACTCTGAAGAGACCACATTCAGGGCCCGCCAAGTGCTTCCCTCTGTTGTATGTCGCACAGAACTTGCTGCTCTGGGGCGACCTCACTCACAATCCCGGGAGGCATTCTCCGATGTTGAGGTGGGTGACAGCAATTTGGCTGTTCTGTGTATGCCCCCTTTCTTTTCTCTCTTCCATCAGAAAAAGGAGAATCACTTTTTACTCAGAACTAAAATGACTTTTTCTCTAAAGAAAATGTCTGTATCCCTTCCGCCTGTCCATAACAATTATATCTCCTTAAAATCACACTTTTTCTGGCCTTTCTTTGCTTCCAGAAATACCAAACACATAGACATTAATATGAAATAAATAATCAAGACACAGAAACACATGCAAGCCATCTTCCTATGATTCATCTTATTCCAGGAGAAATTCTCCAATGAGATTCAGAGGCTCCTTTGTGAACATGGGTTTCCATTAGGAAAGGTTTACTTTTCCACCCTCTGACAAAGCTTCCTAATTCAAAAACTGATTCCCTGGGATGAAGTTTCATGGGAGGTTTCGACAAGACTCAGCTTATGAAACACAGTTCAGGTGTTATAAGCTGTTGTTGCAACCAAGAGGCCAAGAAGCAAATAAGAGTGATTTCTCCACTGGGACAATGGGACGGAGAAGACGATGTATGATAATTATGCAAACAGTGCACAGGGACTCAGCAACAGCCACACTACAGTGTTGGGTTTCTTGGATCTTGGACACTTCGCCGCGTTCACACAGAGGAACTTCTATGTCAGAGAACCATTTCACGCTGTAAGGAGAGGAGTTCTGTTTGAAAGAACCATATGTATGACAGGAGCCCTGCGTGAAGCGATAATACCTGTACGTAGCTACGGTCTTGAACTCATCTCTCCTTTCCATAGTCAACCCATTCTGTTCTTGGGAGCCTTTCAAGCCACCAAAAAAATAAGCTTCTTGGTCCCAAAGTAAACAAGTAATCCTATGCACAGAAGAAAATTGCACACTGCTGCGTATCAACAAACTTAATAATCAGAGTCAGATTAAGAAACAAAACAAAACAAAACAAAACAAAAGAAAACACCTAAGGACACACAGGGGAAAAAGAATCCAAATGGTACATCTGGGAGCAGAGGACTACAAAGAAAGATGCAGATTCCATTCTGTGATGGGTTTGGGGGTCCCCGCGGCCTCAGGAAAGCTCTCTCCAAATCTGTCTCTGACAATATGCCTAGAATTTCATGCTCAGGTGTCCATGCATGGGGATCGGAGTCTTTCACTGCACTGTTCTCTCGAAGGTCGTTCTGCCACTATTGGGACACAGTGGCTTCTGAGAGAAGCAGTAGAGAATGTGAGTGTCCTCTGTGTAGAAGTTTAAAGGCTGTTGTGCAAACAACAGATTCCTGGTGGCTCTCAGGCGGTGGGTCCTGTTCAGGAGATCTTTGTCTACAAATCTGGTACTGGGAGACCTGAGGCTGGGGACAACCAGAGGCAGCCACCGTCAAAGAGACCGTGGAGTGGCCGAGAGAAGCCAGCTTCTTGATGACGTGCTGGCCACCGGGAGAATGTATGGAACCAGAGGTCCGAGATCAGACACAGCAAAGCTCAAGACTTTCCCGATGCCTTGAAGAGGTGTTTCTACTTCTTCTTCTTCTTCTTTTTTAATGTTTATTTATTTCTGAGTCAGAGAGAGACAGAGCACGAGTGGGGGAGGGGCAGAGAGAGAGGGAGACACAGAATCCGAAGCAGGCTCCGGGCTCTGAGCTGTCAGCACAGAGCCCGACGCGGGGCTCAAACTCACAAACCGTGAGATCATGACCTGAGCTGAAGTCGGATGCTTAGTCGACTGAGCCACCCAGGCGCCCCACAATCCTTTGGGTTTTTAATAAACAAGCAAATGTTCTACAGTGTTGCTGGGTTTCCTGCACATGCATACTTTTCTTCCTTTTTCAAGAAAGTATGATGCCTCCAGCTTTGCTCTTTTTGAAGATTGCTGAGGCTATTTGTAGTTGTTGTAGTTTTGTTTTAGGGTTTTTCTCTCTGGAAAGTAAATACCACTGGAATTTTGATAGAAATTCCATTGAATCTATAGATTGCTTTTGAACTATGAACAGTTTAACAGTATTAACATTCCAGTTCAGGAACCTGGAATATCTTTCCATTTATTTATGTGTGCAATGTCTTTCATTAATATCTCACAGTTTTCACTGTTTGCTATTTACAATATGGGTTAAATTTCTTTTTGTAAATCTTTTTTATTTAATACTTTTAAAAGTTTAATATATTTTTTAATGTTCATTTATTTTTGAAAGAGAGAGTATGCGAGCAGAGGACGGGCAGAGAGAGAGGGAGACACAGAATCCAAAGCAGGCTCCAGGCTCTGAGCTGTCAGCACAGAGCCCAATGTGGGGCCAGGACCCATGAACCGTAAGATCATGACCTGAGCTGAAGTCGGTCGCTCAACGGACTGAGCCACCCAGGCGCCCCAAGGTGTTTCTACTTCTACATCCTGGCTACTTTGGGATGGAATCCTCATTTATTTTGCATGACAAACAGGAACATCTATGTTTCCGTTGAAAAAGACTCACCTAATATGTTAGATTCAAAAAGGAATTTACTTTGTTGGGGCATAGTTGGATTTTATTACCCTAATTAAGAATTTATTAGCTTTGTGAACTCCAATGCTTCAAGGTGGCATACTGAAGGCTTTTAAGAACTGGATTTTAAAATTCATAGTGAAGTCAGTTGGCCCAATTAATTAAATGAGAGTGAAAAAATATTTTTGTTAATGCACAGTTAAATGCCTTTACCCAAAGCCTGACATAAAAAATAGTCTTTGGCAACATGCCCATGTCACTGTAGCAGGAAGCTGAATGGGGCTGAGGGCAGTAGTCAGTACTCCCGCATTCACAAGAAGGACACATTCTTCTATTACTGACAATAAAGATGGCAGACCCGGTGACAACTTCCCAATCATCCACCCCTAAGCCATAAAAAAGGAAACTGGAAATTCAAGGGAATTTGGTTACAACAGTAAATGTTTGCTTATAGTGGGTCATCAACCTGACAGACAGCTCATGGCATCAGGTAGAGAGCAAAGTACTTCTGATATTTCATCTTATGTGAGGGTGATCCCCCAAAATCCAGGGGTTGAGGGATGACAGACACGTTCCTTCTTAGCTGCATCCTTGCTGACTTTCAGAACTTGACTTCTTTTCCTACCATTCGAGCATGGCCACGTGTTTTGAAAAGCTCTTGGGAGCCTTGCCTATGTCCCTGAGAGTTTGAGGGTCTACCATGAACACGGCGAGTGGTGCCTGCTGACGAACTGGAAAATTCTGAGGGCCGGAGAAGTCTGGGGTAGCCAACATCAAAGAGAGACTGCCGAGTGGAGTTGGTGAGAAGAATATGTTTTTCCTTGCGTTACCTGGACAATCAGAAAGGGCACCAGGCTTTGTTCTGCTTGAATAGGTTCAAGTGATACAAACCCAGAGAGCTCCAGCAGTAGGAGACTGTTGGAGGGGAGGGCACTTGGGAAGGGAGCTTGAAAGGTCAATGGGAGGCAAGCCTTGCTTGTACCAGGTGGCTGTGCGGGGCTGAGGATCCCATGGGTCCCTCCAAGAACTCCAGTGCAAGTCTGGAGCAGACCAGAATTCCACACTCAAACACCTGCCACAAAGTCAACTCGGACCCCCAGCCAACAAAAGCAAAGAGAACCCTGAAAGAGCAAGCCTAGTTTAGTGGGCCAGTTTCTCCACCTTCTTTAAATTCTTTTCTTCCCTGCCCTAAATCTGTAAGAGGTGAAGGGGGAAAGAAGAAGACAGAGGGAAGAGTCAAACTACATACCCTTCTCTTCTGGATGTCCCCGAGCTACAGACTGGGCAAAGAAGAGAAGCCTAGTATTGGTCCCAAATTTGAAACTAGTTGAGACTTTTTTCAATCAAGAAAACGGGACTTGATTACAAAAATGAGACTTTTTCTCATAATTGGAAATGTCTGGAAAGCAACAGGACAGGGTCAAGTGTGTGTGTGTGTGTGTGTGTGTGTGTGTGTGTGTGTGTGTGTGTTTCAAGTTTATTTTTGAGAGACAGAGCGATCAGGGGACAGACAGAGAGGAAGAGACAGAATACCAAGCAGGCTCTGCACTGATAGTGCAGAGCCTGATGTGGGGCTCAATCTCATGAACCTTGAGATCATGACCTGAGCCAAAATCAAGAGTCAGACGCTTAGCTGACTGAGCCACCCAGGCGCCCCTGGTCAAAATGTGTTTAAGGGTAAGGACAAAGACCCTACAATGTACCATGCTGAGGGAAATATTAAAGGAAAATAAAGCTTTTTGCTCTGCGTTTCTCACTTAGTTCAGAATTGTATGACTCACTCATTCTGTTTTCATCCTAGCCGACCCATGGACATACCTCTTCTCTCTGGTGTCTCCATGAGGCCAACTTGTCCAAGCAGCTGGCTTTCCCACTGCACCTTATCTTCTATGCA